TCTTCTGGGCAAGATTGGTTTAATTTGTATATATTTTAATCTTGTATTTTAAATTTTATATCATATATACTAAAGGTAATGGTTCCTCTCACACATGCATGTAAAGTGCTTAAGGTAAAGCTAAAGGTTCCCGTCGCACATATGTTCTAGTTGTTCCTGACTCTAGAGGGCGGTGCTCATCTCCGTTTCAAAGCCAAAGAGCCAGCACTGTCAGAAGACATCTGCGTGGTCATGTGACTGGCATGACTCAACTCCAAAGGCACATGGAACGCTGTTACCTTCCCACCAAAGGTGGTCCCTATTTTTCTACTTGCATTTTTTTTTACATGCTTTCGAACAGTTGGCAGAAGCTGGGACAAGTAATGGGAGCTCACCCCGTTACACGGCACTAGGGATTCGAACCGCTGAACTGCCGACCTTTCAGTCGACAAGCTCAGCGTCTTAGTCACTGAGCCATCACGTCCCTTATCATATACTTTATCATATACACTAGTATGCCTTATTTTAATTGTGATGCTTCTGGCACGAATCAACATGGAAGTCTACACTCCACACTAAATGTGGGAGCGAAGATCAGGCCACCAAAGATCACAATTTCTTGATCCAAGGAAGAAAGATACAAGTGCACAGTCCCTTTTGAAAATACATAAATAAAAAGTCATAATCCGAAGACATATGGAGTTCTATCAGGAAACATCTGCCGAGCAGCTGTTTCTCTTCCTTGCTTGAATCAGTCATGTGTAGATTATTTCTGAACTTTATGCCATTTGCATAAATCCAAAACAACATGTCTTAAAAAGGGAAGACTGGCAACGGCTGCCATTTTTTATTGAGGTCTATGATTCAAAAGTCACTTGTCAACTTAATTTGGTCCTTTGTAATCTTCATGAACTCCAGAAGAAGAAAAAGATATCAAAGGATGGAAGACTGGAAGCTGCTTGATTCTCTCTTTGAGCCTTGAGTATGGTTGATATTTTGGCTTGTTTTTCTAACAGAGAGAGAAAAACACCTGTCCATCCAGGTGCTTTAGTGAAGTCCAGAGGTGGGTTTCAGCAGGTTCTGACCAGTTCTGGAGAACCGGTAGTGGAAATTTTGAGTAGTTCGGAGAACCAGTAGTAAAAATTCTGACTGGCCCCGCCCCTATCTATTCCCCACCTCCCGAGTCCTAGCAGAGTGGTAGGAGATGGGGATTTTGCAGTAACCTTCTCCTGGAGTGGGGCGGGAATGGAGATTTTACAGTATCCTTCCCTTGCCATGCCCATCAAGCCATGCCGTGCCCACCAAGTCACACCCACAGAACCAGTAGTAAAAAAAATTGAAACCCACCACTGGTGCAGTCACTTGACCATGATAGTCTCAGCTTGCCAGTTCAGGAAGAAGCTCAAAGCTTCTGTTCTCCTTATCTATGGAGATTCTCAGTCCTTCAAGTCATGGTTGTCCCAAAGGTGCTTTTTTTCAAGAGGCAACTGGACTTTCTGGTTTTTCTTGGAAGAGGTTTTGCTTCTCATCCAAGAAGCTTCTTCAGCTTCTTCAAGATGACTATGCTTGCCAAAAAAACATCAATCAAGTCAGGAAACTCATTTAATTCGTTAAAGGAATTTCTAGTCTCACTTTCCCCAAAGAAGAAGAAAACATCATAACTGTATGGGCATATGTTTGCGTTTATATGTGTTTCGTGCAGTCTCAACACCGTCCTCTTCATACTTCGTGAAATTCTAAACTCCATTATATGCAGATGGAGGGCAGATCCAGGAGGCCCTCAAGACATGAGACACAACAGATGTCCTGTTCCTCTGCCAGTGATGAACTTCATTGAATTTCGTTGCTGTCTTGCCTCTTGACCATCCAGCTTACCCTTATATAAGCAACCTTAAACTAATCCTGTTGTGGATTATTTTTAACAATATTTTTAAAGAAAGGAACATAATTCCCGTTACTAGTGATGGCGTCAACATTCAGACCTGGAAGAGCTCTAGAAATTCATGCAAGGAGCCAAGGCCAAGCTGGATTTGGCTCTCGATGGGCTGAGCCTACCAAAACTTTTCTCCAACCAGCTGTTTTCCCCACACGCCCCATTTCTCTTTCCTATCTCAACCTGCTTGCCAACTATGGGTCAGAAGGTCTCCCTATTAAAAATGTAGCATTGACTCTACAGTATTTGTAGATATATTATTGTAGGGGGTCTCCAAACGTGGCAACTTTAGGACTTGTGGACTTCAACTCCCAGAACCCCTCAGCCAGCATGGATTTAGTGATTCTCCATGGATTCATCACAGTTGCATATCAGACAAAACTTATACCAAGTGGGTTAGATATGACCTTTATTACTTTATTACTAGAATAGCCAATAGAAGAGACTGGATAGCCATTTGTCTGGAAAGGTAGAGGGTCGCTTGCTTGAGTAGGGGGTTAGAACGTAGAATAATAAGAGTCAGAAGGGACCTTGGAGGATTTCTAATCCAACCCACTCCTCAAGCAGGAGACCTTATACCCGTGATTGCGAACCTATGGCACGCGTGCCACAGGTGCCACACGTAGCCATATCAGTGGGCACACCAGCTCAGCTCTGGCGTGCATGCGCGCACCGGCCAGCTGATTTTCGGGCCTTCTGGGCCCACCAGAAGTAGGGAAACAGGCTGTTTCCTGCCTTCCGAAGGCCTGGGTGAGGGGTGGGGGAGGGCCCGTTTTTCTTTCTCACCTAGAGAGGCTCTGGAGGCTGGGGACAGCAAAAAAGTCACTTCCTGTCCAACAGGGAGTTGGGAAATGGGCCGTTTCAAGCCTCCAGAGGGCCTCCGAGGGGGTGGGGAAGGCTGTTTTTGTCCTCCCCAGATGCATAGAGAGGATTTGGAGCCAGGTGAGAAAGAAAAACGGGCCTACTGGGCCATTGCGTGCCAGGAGCGGTGGGGAGGGGGGTTGTGCACACAAGCACAGGGCAGGGCACATAGAATTATGCGTGTAGGCACACGCACGCGTGAACCTCCCCCACCCTGCCCCCTCTTCCTGACACGCGATGGCAAAAAGGTTAGCCATCCCTGCCTTATACCATTTCAGATATATGTCCCTTTTTTGAAAGCCTCCAGTGATGGAACAGCCACAGCTTCTAAATGTAAGCTGTTCCATTGGTTGATTGCTGTCATCATTGGGTTCAACTAGATGACCTCCAAAGTCCCTTCCAACTCTGTTATTCTATAATTCTGAATCATGGTTCCCTTCCCCCCTCCCATTTTCGTCTCTATTACAGAGGAATTTTTTATCCCGGTGATGTCTTGAAATGGGAAATGCAACATGAACAGCTCCGGGATGTCTCTTAAAATCCAGGCAGATGCAAACACAAATGATTCAAAATGCCTTGTATGTGTTTAGTCCAGCTTTCTCTCCAGGTAATTTCCTTTTTCCTGATTTTCTTGTGGGACGGGGTTGGTGAAAATGGAAGAAGCATTGAAATAACATGGAAAGGTAAAATATTATAAAAAGGAAAGTTGTCTTTTTTTTTTCTTTAAAAAAAAGGCTGCTATACAGTTTACCTGCTAACTTTCATTCTTATTTAATTTATTTATATTTATATTATTTTATTTTATTTCTATAGCTGTCCCGCTCCAACATGTGACTCTGGGTTGTGAACAATCAACATTGGCTTGTTAAACCTCTTTATGATTTATTGAATCGCTTCACGAAATACACACCCACGCGCACAGAGGGGTTTTGGAAATATGCAAAACAAGTGGTTTGAATGGATTTAAAGTATCTGATTCCATCTGACGCTCCTAAGCCCTTGAATCTGGAAACGGAATCAAAACCCACTTCTCTGTTGGCTTGTGTGAATTTACACTAGAGACCAAACCTGGACTGATGAGAGATCTGAGCAATCTTTCTGCATCCAAGATCAAATTATGAAATTTTAAGACGATGCAGACCTCTGCTCTTGGGGACTGAAAAAGAGTTCCATTCCCATTGCACAAACAGGAGAAGAAGAAGAAAAAAAAGTTGGCTCGGAACATTTTATTTTTTAAGATAAAGATGTTTTACAATAGCTCAGCGATGACAAAGTCAATTGGGCTAAATATCTTGATTCCTCCCTGAACGGATTGTCACTATCTATTTGTCTGAACTGCCTTCTAACGCTGCATTCCTGCAGACCGGATGTAGACTATTCTGCAGCCAGTAAAAAATATATATATATATATATATATTAGAAAGGAATCAAAAACCGGTATAACTTCCAAACTTGCCTTGTGTTTATTAGCTGTCAAGTTAACCCTCTTGCAATTGGAATTCAGAGCAAGCGTCAGCTTTCAAACTCAAGACGGAATGCAAAAGTTATACAAGGTCAGCTGTCACTAACAGCCGTGTCTTCTCAAATCCCAGATGTTCTCTTCTCCATCTCCACACTCATCGGAAAGTAATTGTGTCCAGATAGTTCTCAAATTGGAACCAGACCTTCTGTCGCTAGATAAGGCAGTTGGTGAATGGCGCCCTAATTTTATGAACCTTTTTTTGCTGTGGTTGTTAAACGAACCCTGCAGTTGCTAAGCGAATCTGGCTTCCCTCGTTGACTTGGCTTGTCAGAAGCTGGCTAGGAAGTTGCAAATAGCAATCAGGTGATCCCAGGGACACTGCAACTGTCATAAGTACACGCCAGTTGCAAGCACGCAAATTTCGATCATGTGACCATGGAGATGCTTTGACCATCATAAGTGTGAGGACGGGTAATAAATCACTATCACAGCTTTGAACGGTCACTGATTGGATGTTTGTGAGTTGTATGAACTACCTGTGTGGCAAAGTTTGCAAAGACAGAGCAAATACTCCCACGGTTAACTTTATTTATTGGATACTCTGTTTTAATTTGTCTTTTAACTTTTGTATTTTCTGTTTCTTATTGTTGTGAGCCGCCCTGAGTCCTTCGGGAGAAGGGTGGCATATTTATTAATTAATTAATTAATTAATTAATTAATTAATTAAATAAATAAATAAATAAATAAATAAATAAGACCCCAAACTTCAGGCGGTTCTAAAGTTTTTATTTCCACAAATGCCATAACACAAAATAATAAGACAACGGTTTCATTCGCCAGGTAGAAAGAATCTGGAGAAAATATATATTTATCAAAAGGAAAAACAATCATTCTGCCCATTAAAATGCTTGTGCAAGCCCTTTACAGAACATTTTTTTTTTACAAAGGATATAGTAAAAAATACATCGTTTTTCATAGAAAAAAAAGCAAATATACAAAAACTGCAGGCTTGTGCTACCTGCAGATAGGACCTATGCAGATCTATATATGCCTTAAAACAGATAAATTTTAAAGCAGGCAGGGAAATTCTTTTCCTCTATCGACTTGCTGTGTATCTGGTGGCACCCACAAATACATTTTCGATAAGCATGAAAATGTGCATGTTTTATTGACCTCCTGTTAGTTCGTCTCTCATGGACATTGCTTGTTGGGCCTGTGTAAATCATCCTTCTCTGATTTATTGAACCATTTCATGAAACACACATACACACATTTTGGAAAAATTCCAAAGAATCAGCCTGAACCATCGGATTCGATTGGATGCTTCTAAACCCATGAATCTGGGAACAGAATCAAGACTCACACCTCTGTTGGCTTGTGTGAATTCACACATTAGAGAGCAATCCAGATTGACGACAAATCTAAACAATCTGATCTCGTTGCATCCATGTCAAAATTGTTCTCCAGAAATAAAGGAAATAAAGGAATCTGGTTTAGAAATGGCACCTAACTATGTTCTTAAGCATCGTTGATAACCAACGTATCTCAAAGGTGGGGTATCCTTTAGTAACTGGAGATTACCTTGCATTTGGGATGACATCGCATGAGGGGGTGTTACCTTCTTCCCTCTCCCCCATTATTCCTGCGTACATTTTGCATTTAGATGCCTAGCCTATCTGATGTCTCGAGAAACATGGGATCCCTCCAAAATGTGATTTCATTTCCTGACACTTTGCCAAAATTCTTAATGAAGCACTTTCCACTTAGACTTATATACCGCTTCACGGTGCTTACAACCCTCTCTAAGCAGTTTACAGACTCAACATATTGTCCCCAACAATCTTGGTCTTCATTTTACCGATCTTGGAAGGACGGAAGACTGAGTCAACCTGGAGCCGGTGAGAATCGAACTGCTGGCAGTTGGCAGAATTAGCCTGCAATACTGCATTCTAACCACTGCGCCACAACGGCTCTTGGTAGAACAATATGCACACACTAACTCTCCTCTCGCACCCCTGATAATTAAGATTAAATAGAGAATGGGCCATTCCACCCAACCACCCAGCTGGGTAGGATGTCTTAGAGTACTTGTGACTATAGCTGATTTTTCCCCCCTCCAGACATAATGGTTAAATAAAACAAAACAAATAAGGGCAAATAAGATAGATTCCTCCTGGGTGAATCTGTGAGCAGGTGTAGAATCAAAAACATCTTTCTAGTCTTATTTAGCACCATCTTAGCACCATAGTTGGCAAAAACCCTTTGGGTGTAGAAGGCCAAAATCCAGCCCACGTACAGGAACTGTTGAATCACATGTTTTATTTGAAGGTTGTTGTGTGTGTGTTTTAACTGAGCCCCTAAAATCAAGAAGTTTAAATAAATAGAAATCACACATTGAATTGAACAATATTTGTCCTTTTTGTATGGTGGGATCAGAGGCCAGTTTTCGTAGACCAACCTTGTGTCAGATTAACAGAAGGCACCTCTTTGGCTTCCCATGAAGACTGGGATGAAGTTTTTAGAGGAAGGATAAATCCTTAACGAATCTAAGCCTTCAAATATTTGGATTGAAAGAGGACGACTTCGCAACTATTTCATTAGGACAACATTTGAGTATGATCTACAGGAATTGTACTGACTAACAGAAAACAGAATTGTTCTAACAGGCCTTCATAATATACATGTTGTGACCAACTTAATATATCAAGCTTCCAATCTATACAAATAAACAAGTAAAGCAAAAACCTTTTCAATTCCAGCAAAATAAACTAAATAAAACAAAATAAAACTTTTTGCAACCATAGCTAAGCTAGAACAGCTCTGCTGAATAAAATAAGTTGGATTCATCTGTAAATAAAACAATGCTAACTAACATGCAATGAATCAGAATGTGCCAAGACAGGGGTCCCAAGCATTTAATTTGGTGATAATTGAACCCCGTTTTCCTAACTTCCTGCAGTTGTTTGGCCAGCAAACCTATTTATTCCATTTAAGTTTCTTTTGAGAGAAATAGCAATCTTTCCATTCTTTTGCAAAAGCAGATTCTTTTCTGGAAATGCAATACCTCTTTCCTAGTCTCCATCAAAAGAAATCTATGCTATTTGTTTAGTGTGGTCTAAACCTTTCCTAAATCACCACACCATTCAAGGTATCACAAGGTGACTTGGATTCCAGGTATATTCTTGACTTTGACTCAATCTTTCAAAAATTTAGCCTTTGGGGTGACCTAAATGTTTTCTATGTTCTCATTCAAAGCCTACTGATCAGATAAACATTCCTCCTGGAAGCAGCGTTTACGAGAACCCCTATATTTGGGGGACAAAATTGTTCATAGGAAAGGTGGGGTAAGCCAGTTTTTCAACCATCTTCTTTCCTAAACTCGAACCATCTTCTTACTTCTTGAAGGTTCAAAACATTTGGAAGTAGAATAACAACAGTCCGAAAATAAAACAGTGAGCAGATGTTGCCGATTCCTGCTGCCGTCTTTTTTTTCTCCAAAAGAAGATGGATGGATTTGAAGGCTTCGTCGTGGTCCAAGGTGGGGCAAACATCTCTCCCCCAAGGAGAAACACACAAGGCTGCAGTTTCTCTCCACAAAGAGTCTCACCATCTTGGGGAAATTACTGCCTCACAGCAAAGATTTGGAAAGCTTTCCCTTCCCTGGGAGCCTTTAAGCTGGCAAGGAAGGATAAAACATCAGCTCCAGTGGAAACAACGGGCGAATAAGACATAAGCACAAAAGAAATATTTTGACAACTGGGCCTTTCTGGTTGACCTCTTGTCTGCTTTGGAGAACCTTTTTCTGAGCTGCTCAAGGGAGAGTTGAAGATGATACTGTGTTTCCCCGAAAATACGACCTACTCAGAAAATAAATCCTAGCTTGATTTTTACACATGCACCCAATATAAGCCCTACCCCCCCACACACACAAATAAGCCCTAATTAAGACCCCACCCACTTCAGGGTACACAGGTAAAGATTAAGCTAGAGTGGGGATGAGGGAGTGGAGCTGCCCTACTACTTACCTTCGGATACCCGGTTTCTCCCAAAATAAGACATCCCCTGATAATAAGTTCAATCGGACTTTTGAGTGCATGGCAATAAGGCCAAGCGTTTATTTCAGGGTTAAAAAAAATATAAGACAGGGTCTTATTTTTGGGGTCTTATTTTTGGGGAAACAGGGTAGTTGCAGCCAGGCTTTGCACACCTCAGCCCACTTCTAGATCAATCTGGAACTCTGTTATTAGCTACAGAGGTCTTCGGGAAAGCCTTGCTGGCTGCAGAAGAAATGGGGTATGCGAGATCTGGCTGTAACTATCAGAAGCCAAAGATGTTCCTGAAGGCCTCTGACAGCGAAAAGGAGGCCAGGGCAACGTGCACAAGTGAGGTGAATCAGTGGATGACCCCCCCCCTCCCCGAAAATAAGACCTGGTACCTTTTTTGGTGGCAAAAAGAAATATAAGACAGGGTCTTATTTTCAGGGAAACACGGTAGATAACGGTAGATTATTCATATCTCTGTTTCTATTTCTAGACTCCAAATTTGCATTTCCAGATCTTTAGATCTCCAGATATTCCTTAGAGACAAACTATCTCTTGTGTTTAGGTAGGGTTTTTTTTTTTTTCCTTTCTTCTAACCGGGCTGGAAATGTTTTCGCCTTACCTTTCAGATCGGATCCCGTTCCTCAAGGATCCATTGTAGACTTTCTTCTTATCGACCGGCATCACGTCGATGTAACCGCCAGAATCGTCTCTGATGACTCCTGCGTGAACAGCAGCTTTGCAGATGCTGGAATTCTGAAACATTACAGAACAAGCCCTGTGACACCCAGGCTTCTGTCACCTCTCCGTAAATCTCTGGTTACGACTCTTCTAACACTTTACATATTGCAGGAGAGCAGATTAAGAAGCTCAGGCCAAAGCCAGACTTAAATCTTTAAATCAGCCAGCATCAGCAGTGGTCCAGCTTTCCACGAGACCAAAAAGCAGTTTGTTCCCAAGCATATTTTTCAACCATCTGGGGGTGACGAGTCCTCATTAAAAAATAAAAAAAACCAGAGCACACTTAAGAAGCCTCCAAGATCAGAGAGATTTGATTTTGTATGTGCATGTCTGTGTGTGGTCTATATTGAATTTCATCACCGTATCACAATAAAAGAACACAACCCTCCCTGAGATAGATTTGTGTCGCCCAATTCTTCAGGAAGTACAGGTAGTCCTCGAATTACGACCACAATCAAGGCCAAAATTTATGTTGCCAAGCAAGAGAGTTGTTAAGTGAGCTTTGCCCCATTTTATGACCTTATGGTCCTAAGGGTGAAAAAAAGTCATAGGTGACTCTTTTCACTGCTGTTGTAACTTTGAATGGTCACCAAACGAACTGTTGTAAGTCGAGGACTACCTGTAGCGTAATAAAACAGAACAACACGACTACTGAGACAATGGAAGAGCTGCTGATCCAATTCTACAGAGGAATTATTGAGTCTGTCATCTGCATCTCTATAACTGTCTGGTTTGGTTCTGCAACCCAACAAGGCAGACACAGACTTCAGAGGATCATTAGAACTGCAGAAAAAACAATGGCTACCAACCTGCCTTCCATTGAGGACCTGTATACTGCACCAGTCAAAAAGAGGGCTGGGAAAATATCTACAGACCCCTCGCATCCTGGACATCAACTGTTCCAACTCCTACCCTCAAAACGACACTATAGAGCACTGCACACCAGAACAACTAGACACAAGGGCAGTTTTTTCCCAAACGCCATCACTCTGCTAAACAAATAATTCCCTCAAACTATTTACAAAGTCTGCACTACTATTAATCTTCTCATTGTTCCTATCACCCATCTCCTTCCATTTATGACTGTATGACTGTAACCTTGTTGCTGGTATTCTTACGATTTATATTGATTGTTTTCTAATATGATTTGATTGCTTATTTGTACCCTATGGCTATCATTAAGTGTTGTACCTTATGATTCTTGACGAATGTATCTTTTATGTACACTGAGAGCGTATGCACCAAGACAAATTCCTTGTGTGTCCAATCACTCTTGGCCAATAAAGAATTCTATTCTCTTCTCTCTCTCTCTCTCAAATTTTGGAACTTTAGATTCACAACGACTCAAAGGAGGGAAAAAAACAACCCAAAATTACACATTCACCCGGGTGCAATGCCTCAAAATTCCCACTGTGACCAGAATGTCATGGAATTTGGGCAAAGAACGTAGGAATAGTTCAGAGGTGCATTTCTTTCTCCAGGCCTGCACATACATCATGGTTGAAGTTGTCCCACACCTCTATCCCCTCCCAAGCCATAAAAGGTCAGTTCCTCTAGGTCCCATTTTTCATCCCTGTCGCTGCCTCTGTGTTGGCGGCTTTCTAAGATTTCTCATGCCGGTTTGATTTGAGCCTTTTCTATATATGGTCAAGGAGAGCAGAGGGAGTTGTTTTTTTACAGGCGCTGCTGCGCTTCCAACGGCCTGCTAACCCTTCTGTTCCACGGCATCGGAAACTGGCTGGGGAACAACTTCCTGTCCTTAAGGAACTCAGGCAGAGTTTCCATAACACCTCATTCCCCGAATTCTGTTCTAAACAGTTGGTTTCTGGGATGCTCAGCTTGTTCAAATTCATCATTCCTGTGGCCAACACATCCATTCCATTCCATTCCATTCCATTCCATTCCATTCCATTCCATTCCATTTATTTATTTATTTATTTATTTATTTATTTATTTATTTATTTATTCCCCCCCTCTCTCTCTCCTTTTTTCCTTCCTTCCTTTCCTTCCTTCCTTTTTCTTTCTTCCTCTCTCTCTCACTTTCCTTCCTTCCTTCCTTCCTTCCTTCGTTCCTTCCTTCCTATCATCCTTCCTTCCTTCCTTTTTTTTTGCTTGCAATCCGTTCCTGGTTTCTGGCCCGTCTTCTCCTCTGCAGCAGAAATCTCTTATCGTGGTGAGCAAGTTTTGAGAAGAAGGTCATTTCCTGAAGAGGAGAACTCACACATTCCAAAATTGGTAGGGTTCTTGTAATAAGTCGTCAGCTACGTTTTATGCATCACAACCTCTAGATTCATTCCGACTTCCGAGTTTAAACCACAGAGAGCCCGTGTTACGGTTTAGCCTCTTCTACAAACCAAGCCCAGGACAGTAGGCCAAAAAGGCCAGTTCCTATCTGTAGTGACTCTGCAAGTGGTGACGAGAAGTGATTGCCAGAAGCAAGGAAGGTTCTAAGTGTCCAAAATGAGTTTTTTGGCAAATACAGTCCAAAGCAACGGGGGGGGGGGATAAAATCAAAGGGATTATTTTATCCTGGGTATAAAGAACTTTAAGAAAGCAACTCAGTATTTATATGCTATCCCTGTATTCCATGAGAAATACCAGGCTGGAATACCAAGGACTGTCTTTCCTTTTTAAATTTTGGTTCCCCCCCCCCCACCTCGCCTGCCAGAAGCCCTGTGCTGAATTGCTAAGAGCTATTTTGGACGCCTGCTGAAATTAGAACGCACAACAATTTGTTGGCTCCTTTCTAGACATTAATGGGAAGCAGGGACACCCAGCAATGTGTGCTGGCTACTTTGCACATTTGTTCCATTCCAGGCATGGATGGATTGTGACTTTCATGCTTAGCCTTTCGAGAGGAACTCTTTAACCTCCTGCTGGGAAGACGTTGGAGAGGACCTTTGAAGAGGGAAGCCTTCCACTTGTTTTGACTGATGGCCTTGTCCAACCTGAAGAAGTTCTCGAGAAGATGTGGCTTGGCTCTCCACTTCCTCTCTAATGCCTTCTTGCTACCTTTTCCTTCTCTTCTTTCTTTTTTTCCTCATTGTTTTACAATATATCTTGTGTGATGCTATCACTACCCCCTCCCCTGTGTGTACTTTAAGGGAAAGCAAGGAGAAACTATTCAAAATAGGTAATGTCTACCATTATGAGTGTCATGAGTGGGCCATATTGAAGAAGAAATGGCATCTATCTGTCTGTCATCTGCACCTCTATAACTGTCTGGTTTGGCTCTGCAACCCAACAAGACAGACACAGACTTCAGAGGATGATTAGAACTGCAGGAAAAACAATGGCTACCAACCTGCCTTCCATTGAGGACCTGAATACTGCACGAGTCAAAAAGAGGGCTGGGAAAATATTTACAGACCCCTCGCATCCTGGACATAAACTGTTTCAACTCCTGCCCTCAAAACGACGCTATAGAGCACCGCACATCAGAACAACTAGACACAAGGACAGTTTTTTCCTGAACACCATCACTCTGCTAAACAAATCATTCCCTCAACACTGTCAAACTATTCACTAAGACTGTGTTACTATTACTATTAATCTTCTCATCGTTCCCATCACCCATCTCCTCCCAATAATAATAATAATAATAATAATAATAATAATAATAATAATAATAATAATTTTATTTCTATACCGCCCTTCTCCCGAAGGACTCAGGGCGGTGTACAGCCAATTTAAAAACACAAGACACAACAATAATTAAAAATTAAAATAATTAAATAGTTAAATAGATTTGGCCGATTTAAAACCCCAAAAATTTAAAATACCCCAATTTAAAATTATTAAGTTGATATTATGACTGTATGACTGTAGCTTTGTTGCTTGTATCCTTATGATTTATATTGATATTGTTTCCTGATTGCTTATTTGTACCCTATGACTATCATTAAGTGTTGTACCTTATGATTCTTGACGAATGTATCTTTTCTTTTATGTACACTGAGAGTGTATGCACCAAGACAAATTCCTTGTATGTCCAATCACACTTGGCCAATAAAGAATTCTATTCTATTCTATTCTATTCTATTCTATTCTATTCTATTCTATTCTATTCTATTCTATTCTATTCTATTCTATTCTATTCTATTCTATCCTAGAGCTGCACTCAGCTGCAAAAATTTCATCTCAGTCCTCAGTCCTTGATATAAATATTTCTCAACCTTAGCAACTTTAGGTTGTGTGGACTCAGGATGGCTGGGCAATTCTGGGAGTTGAAGGCCACCCATGTTAGTAAGGTTGAGACACACTCATCTGTCCAAATCCTCACTCATCAAAAGAACAAGCCAGCATCCTGGTTTTTGTTAAGTAGGAAGGAGAAAGAATTACTCACATCTGCGTATATTTTTGTGCCATATACTGTAGCCCAGTGGTTTGGCTCATTTTTGCAGTAAGCTGGACAGTAAGACCTAAAAGATGAAATAAAGAGATGAAGAATGATTTGAACCACTGGTTTAGTACAAAATGAACCAGTAAGAAATGGAAAAAGGAACCTAACTAGTTAGTTTACTTTATTGTCATTGCACCTTGTACAACGAAATTAAATGCCATCTTCAGTGTATATCATACATAAGAAAACTATAAAAATAAAACAAAAACACCCATCCTTCACATTCTATACAATTGAATTGAAAACCCCTGATATTACATTGACATTGTTCTATACAGTAGAATTCAATATAGTTACTGCCCTGGGATAGAAGCTGTTTTTCAGCCTATTTGTCCTTGTTTTTATTATCCTGTACCGTCTGCCAGATGGTAATCGTTCAAAAAAAGGGTGCCCAGGATGAGATGGATCTTTAGGAACGTTTTGAACTTTCTTAAGGCAGCGGGAGCTATAAAGCTCTTCCAAGGAGGGCAGAGGACAACCAGTGATCCTCTGGGCAATGGCGTTAACTAGGAGCTCTTGGAAGCAATGCAGAATTCTACAGTATCTCCATCAGCTTCATCCATTGGGAATTCTGATCATGGTTGGGGTTTTTTGCAGATGTTTTATTATGCAACCTAGATAATATCATCCAGTGCTAGTCTGATGACATTACCTAGTTTGGGTAATGAAATGTCTTCAAGAAAACACGCAAGCTCAGAGAGCACCAAGGATCACCTCTCATTTCAACCCTGAGCCACAAATATTTTCCTCTATTGGGGTTCTGATTGGCCAACAGCATCTACTGAAGTCAAGCTGTGGGAAGTTCTACCAAACAGCCACATGGATCTGAAATGCCCTATCATAAGGCAGCGCTTTCATTTCTCAATTGCCCATAGCAGCAGCTGTTAGATTGGTTGTTTTTTTCCAGCAGAAATTATTACTACCAGTAGTAGCTTCAATGTGATTCTTCCAACAGAAATTCTGAGCAAGCCATCCCTTCGAATAGCCATGACTAGAGTCCCACCACTTACCTTGGGCAATGAGTAGTTGGCTTCTTGAATGGACACAGTTCCTCTACTGTGGTGTAACAATCCAAAGTCTGCACTGTGGAATTAAGAATACATACAAGAGATGTATGAACGTTGGGTTTTCTTTGTAAGGGTGGTCAAAAGGCAAGAATGCACAAGTTCAAAATTAGTACAATTAAGAAGGAAAAAAAAGATACAGTATACCAAGCAATCATCTCAATACGGACTCTGTAGGTTAGTGATTATATTTAATATAGAGTCCTTCAATATATTCAATAGGTTTCATATATATTTATTCAAATATGTGAATAATGTAGGAAGGTCTTTATAAAAGTGAGCTATCGTCTGCACAATGCTAATCTTTACACAGCCTTTTCTTACATCTTTTTTCCAGTACAGCTGTTGGTAAATGCATTAAAGTGTCCTGATGTCTTAGCTTATGCTTGTATTGCCTCGCACAGCGTTCAAGAAATAACTTGAGGACTAAGTCAATTCATCAGTAACACTTAGGCCAGGGGTGTCAAACTCAAGGCCTGGGGGCCGGATCCGGCCTGCGGGATGCTTAGATCTGGCCTGTGGGGCCACCCTGGAAACAGCAAAGGACTGGCCTGCAGCGCCTCTGCCAGTGAAAACTGAGGTCGGGAGGACCGTGCACAGCCACCCCACTCCATCCCACTCCGGCTCCATTTTTTCTGGCAGAGGACTCGCAAAATAAACTAAAAACAAAACAAAAGAAGAAATGTTTCTCTATTTGAGCATGCAAGAAAGGACAGGAAAGGAGAAAGGGGAAGACAAAGAAAAAGAAAGAAAGATGGGAAGGAAGGAAGAAGAAAGGAGAAGGAAGAGGGAAGGAAGGAAGGAAGGAAGGAAGGAAGGAAGGAAGGAAGGAAGGAAGGAAGGAAGGAAGGAAGGAAGGAAGGAAGATTATAATGAGAGTGAGGGAGAGTCTGAGGCAGTGGTGAAATCCAATTTTTTTTTTTACTACCAGTTCTGTGGGCGTGGCTTGGTGGGCGGTGGTGTGGCTTGATGGCCGTGGCTTGGTGGGCATGGCAGGGGAAGGATACTGCAAAATCTCCATTCCCACCCCACTTCTGGGAGAAGGATACTGCAAAATCCCCATTCCCTCCCCACTCCAGGGGAAGGATACTGCAAAATCTCTATTCCCACCCCACTCTGGGGCCAGCCAGAGGTGGCATTTGCCAGTTCTCCAAACTAGTCAAAATTTCTGCTACCGGTTCGCCTGAACCTGTCAGAACCTGCTGGATTTCACCCCTGGTCTGAGGGAAGTTCTGCCTTAGCACTTGGCCACCACAGGTACCCCCAACACGAGTGATGTTGAGCTGGCCACACCCACCCTGGCCACACACACACACACAAGGTCAAACACAACCCTGATGTGGCCATCAATGAAATCGAGTTGGAGCTTAGAAGGCAGGGAAAGAGTTAAGGAATTTTCAGGGAAGGCATCAACCAGTGGATCCTATAAAAATATTGAGTGCGGAGACATTTCTTTTGCTTTTTCTTTAATCCTGGAGACCTGCCAAAATTACAGGAAAGTGGGAGGGTGTGTGAGTTTAAATCAACAGCTGTTTGAAGTAGCCTCATTTGTCATGTAAAGCTGCACGGTCCTGGCTGAATTTAAGTCAACTCCAAACTTGATGGCACTGCTTCTGAAATGTCTCGTTTTTTTTAAAATTATTATTATTCTTCTAATGCCTTTGTTCGGACAAACAGAAGCCTGCTGGCCCCAAAACAAATTGAAGTTGGGCTGTGTTTTGCCTGGATCATAACCATAACTGGGTGGAAAATTATTGCATTTGGGGAATGAGATCAATTCATATATATATATATATTTTCCTGGGAGATTTCTTGCTTGATATTTCTTGTTGTTCTTAGGACTTTCCTGTGTTTGTCCAAACAAACATCTCGACCGTGAAAGAGAAAGAAGACAAACGCAAGAGGAAGAGATCGCTTGACTTCAAAGCAAATTGTTCATTAGGCTGCCTGGTGTGTTGCATTTATGACTACTCTCCTTTTCTTAACACGTCATTTTTTAGCGGATCATTTGAACGTACAAAACCCTGCAGGAATGTCAGGGAGGGATTCGCTTCGGCAAAGGTTCACATCATGAAGCTTTCTCTTCAAGCAACTTTGCAAAAATACTTTTCCATCTAGGGTTGCAGAGAACCTCTTTGGATTACAGAAACTTCTCCAACACCCCCCGCCCTTTCCTTCCTCTCTTTTCCCTTTGGTTTTTTTTTTTTCCCTGAAGAGGTGTGCAAAACACCTTGAGATGAAGCTATCACGAGCTCTTCCCAAAGGTCCTTTTTCAAGAGGCAACTGGACTCACTTGGTTTTTCTTGAAGACGTTTCGCTTCTCGAGTGAAGAGGCTTCTAAGTAGGATGAGAAGCAAAACGTCTTCAGGAAAAATAAGGAAAGTCCAGTTGCCTCTTGAAAAAGCACCTTTGGAACAAACATAATGTGGATGACTGAGAATCTCCAGGGATTGTTGCAGTGGTTACAGTGGTGAAATCCTTCACAAAATCCTTTGCATGGAAAAAGGAGTTGTTTTAAGGTAAGTAGTAAGCTGTGCCACGTGATTTAGATTCACTAGAAAGCAGGAGGTGAAGAAGGCACAGAAGAGGCTGTACTTCCTGAGAATGCTCAGGAAGATAAATCTATCTCAGCATCTCCTTCTGTCCTACTACCGCAGCACCATTGAGAGTGTCCTGACATACGGCATTCTTGCATGGTATGGGAGCAGCTCTGTAGCGGACAAAAAAGCTCTACAGAGAATCATTAAAACTGCCCAGAAGATCATCGGGCTCCAGCTACCAGCCCTGGATGACATCTTCGAATCTCGCTGTTTGAAGAAATTGCATAACTTTCTCAGAGACTCTTCCCATCCTGCTTACAATCTTTTTGGGTTGTTGCCTTCTGGCAGAAGATACAGAACAATTCAAACTCGGACCGCACGTTCTCTGAATAGTTTTTATCCCAGAGCTATAATTGCACTCAACCATGAACTAAAGGGCCACCATCAGTGAGCTGTTGGACAGGGGTACTTGGGTCTTATTGTTCTATATATCCCTTCCTCTCATTATCTTAACCCTTTTATTTTCTCCCTTGTTTTCTTTTTCTCTCCCTTTCTCTCTTTCTTTCATGACGATATCTCCCCATTGATCTTCTTACTTCTGTCTCCTCATTTAATAGACTAACTACTAGAACAGGATTTAATCCATGGGGATTCTGGAGGAATTGGCACCAATTCTTTCTTCTCCATGAAGAAAAACTTACCTGTGACTTTCGACACAGCAAAACCGTTGGAAGGTTTGTATTTGCTGGCAAAGGAGAAAAAAAAAACTGGCATTAATTCAATGTTTAAGAGGTCATTCCAAAATTAAGTTTCTAGATAACATTACAAGAGATAGAGAGTAACAGTGTCTGCCACTTAAGCAAGACTTCAACTCTTATTCATTGGCAAGCAGAACCAAAGACGCAGCAAAATTGCAGAAAGAGTGCAGAGAAGAGCAACAAAGATGATTAGGGGACTGGAGGCTAAAACATATGAAGAATGGTTGCTGGAATTGGGTATGTCTACTTTAATGAAAAGAAGGACATGGGGTGACATGATAGCAGTGTTCCAATATCTCAGGGGCTGCCACAAAGAAGAGGGAGTCAAGCTATTGTCCAAAGCACCTGAGGGTAGAGCAAGAAGCAATGGGTGGAAACTAACCAAGGAGAGAAGCTACTTAGAACTAAGGAGGAATTTCCTGACAGTGAGAACAATTAATCAGTGGAACGACTTTCCTCCAGAAGTTGTGAATGCTCCAACACTGGAAGTTTTTAAGAAGAGATTGGACAACCATTTGTCTGAAGTGGTGTAGGGTTTCCTGCCTGAGCAGGGGGTTGGACTAGAAGACCTCCAAAGTCCCTGCCAACTCTGTTTATTCTATTTCTATTTCAAATCACGGCTAGAGACTTGATGTAACTAGACAATTTTTGCACATAGAAAATGGGATTACCTGAGTGTCTGAACTCCGTTTCTTACAGACATTACGAAGAAGTCTGATCTTCCTTTCCTAGTAATATCTACTAGGCCTCCTCTGTTATCTAACACTCCAGAATGAATAGCTGCTCGACATATGCTGGATGCCTGGAAGAAAGGAAGAATCCACTTAAGAAATTGCACAAGGATGATATTTTTTTTAAAGCAAAGATAGTGAAACATTTCTGTACATTTTAGGTGTGTTGTGTTTTTTAGCCATTGTGTCAAAAGCCTGTAATGTCACCCAAGGAGAAAGCTTGGCACAACAATTAATTAAATGTAGAGAACATAAAGCTATGGATGATTTATCCAATGATATTCCTCAATTTTTGAGATACCTATATAGTTCATACTATGTTTTCCCAAAAATAAGACCCTGTCTTATATTTTTTTAACCCCGAAATAAGCACTTGGCCTTATTTTCAGGGAGGTCTTATTATTTTGGGGTGCGTGGAGCAAGACGGGGTTCCTCTTGCCGTCTTACCTGATTTCCAGCTCTGTCTCCCTAACTGTAACCAGAGGAAATGGCGAGGACTGGCTGTGCATGCATTTAAATGTTTTGGGGGAGGGATTATTTTCATTGGGGATTATTTTAGCGCATGCGCTCAAAAACCCAATTGGGCTTATTATCAGGGAATGTCTTATTTTCGGGAAAACAGGGAAGTAGTGTACTGATGTTATAGCTTTGTGTTGCTAATAATAATTTCCAGTTATTTTTCCATAGTTTATAGGCTGGACTGGAAGGATTGTAAATGTTATAGTTCTAAATGTTTATTTTTTTTAAATCTGTCAATCACCAAAGTAAAGATTTCGACTTTGAAAACCATAACTCTGAAATATGTGGGGTTTTTTTTCTTTTTAAAAAAAACTTACACTTTCATATTTGGGGAATCCAAATACTTTAGCCTTACTGTTCAAGCAACCAGCTGGGCACAGATACCTAGCCAAAGGAATAAAAATAAAAAGGGAACCATTAAGGAATTTTGGAATCTGCCTTCTGTCCAGTGCAAACATTCTCCACCTGGTGCTCACCAAATGTTATGGACCTCAGCATCATTTTAAAGGCCAGACTGAGGAGGATATATCATTCCTGGTGTAGATTTTACCAGCTCTTCCCTTAAGCATTCTCAGCTAATATTTGAATTGGATTCGGTTCATTCAACTGTACTGTAATTAAAAGCATTACGCAGAGGAAGGATGGATGATCCATCTGAGAGAGACAAACTCTCATTCTCAGAGGAGAATGGTGAAAGATTGAAGCTAATATAAGGATGGGTATCCCAAAGGTTTTTTTTTCCCCCAAAGGCAACTGGACTTTCTTTGTTTTCCTTGAAGACATTTCGCTTCTCACTCAAAAAGCTTCTTCAGTTCTGACTGAATGGTGGAGAATGAAAGGATTTATATTCCTTGCAGTTATCTTCCTTCCATTCTCAGCCATTCAGTCAGAAATGAAGAAGCTTCTTCTATGACACGGATGTCAAACTCAAGACCCAGGGCCCGGATCCACCCACGGAGTGCTTAGATCCAGCCTGTGGTGCCTTTGCCAGCAAAAACGGAGCTTGGAAAAGCCGCATGCCGCCCTCGCGAGCTCCGTTTTCACTGGCAGAGGGTTGCAGAAGGCCGTTGCAGCTGAAAACGGAGCTCGGGAGCCTGTTTTTGCTGGCAGAGCGTTCGGGCCATCACAGCCCCCCCCCCCCCAACACGAGTGACATCGAGCTGGCCATGCCAATCCTGGCCATACATTCTCCCCCCCCCCCCAAGTCAAACACAATCCTGATATGGCCCTCAATGAAATTGAGTTTGACACCCCTGTTCTATGAGAAGCGAAACATCTTCAAGAAAAACAACGGAAAGTCCAGTTTCCTTTGGGATAACCATGACCTGGATGACTGAGAATCTCCATAGACATAAGGATGGGTAGCTAGAACGGGCAAGGAATCAATTCTAGGTCCTTGGTGAAGACAGTCTGAAGCTCCTCTTTTTCTTCAAGAGTTGGAGCTTACGTGAAAAGACTCGAATGGACTGGTTTCTACATGATTTTTGGATTTATAGGCCATCAGAAGGGAATGCTGTGTTTGAACATCGCCACAGGTCAAAGGGTAAAAAGAAAGAAAATAAATGTGGAGCACCTGTTACATGTAGATCCTCGACACGTGTCCCTCATTTTGGTGTCACACTTGATCACTTGAGCTAGAATAATGGGAAGATACACAGCTATGAGAGAAACACTATAACCAACAAGATCAGCCCTTAAGTAACATTGAGTACAAGCCTGTAATGTCACCCAAGGAGAAAGCGTGGTACAACGAATAATTAAATGTAGAGAACATAAAGCTATGGATGATTTATCCAAAGATATTCCCCAATTTTTGAGATACTTATAAAGCTCATAGTAATGTAGTGACGTTATAGCTTTGTGACGGTAATTATAACTGCCAGTTATTTTTCTGTTTAGAAAATTCAGACCTTGGAATATAGGGTGAGATCTTCCTTCCTTCCTTAAAAGTTTCCAGATTGATATCAAATCCATCCAGATGAATTTCTGGCACTTTCTACATCGTGTGTTTACACTAGTAAACCGAGTTGGCCTATCAATTTATCTAACCCATGTTTATCCCCTCAGCAACTTTAAGATGGGTGGACTTCAACCCCCAGAATTGGCTGGGGAATTCTGGGAGTTGAAGTCCACCCGTCTTAAAAGTTGCCAAACTTAAAACACACTTGATCTAAGGCATGCATTTAACCACAGAAATCCCCAACCCAATTTTTACCAAATAGTCCAATGCTTGCTGCATTTTCTCCTACTTAGCCAAGCAGCAAGGTATCCCCGAATCATCATCTGCAAACTCCCAAATGCTGGAAAATAGAAATACTTTCTTACTCATGTAGGTCAGCTCTGTCGGTTTCTTTTCCTTTGTAGGTTTTACAGTTTTGGGCTGTATTCTGTCAGGAACCTTTTGTAACTCCACTTCATTTGCGCCATCCGTCTCAGGTTTTTCGACTACTTTCTCTTTGGTTAGCGAGGGAAAAAGAGCTGTGTGTTACTACTATTCAAGGCCGTTAGCAAAGAAGACAGGTACTAGGAGTTAAGAATCATTCTTGTGATTTTTGTTTAAACCAGGGGTCTCCAAACTTGGCAACTTTAAGACTTGTGGACTTCAGCTCCCAGAATTCCTCTGGATGAGGAATTCTGGGAGTTGAAGTCCACAAGTCTTAAAGTTGCCAAGGTTGGAGACTCCTGGTTTAAGGAGATTCAGTAATTTTGTCCCCTAATTTCATTTATAGTTGAAACCTGCTCATCCCAAATAAATAAGTGTGAAACAAAGGCATCCCTGGGGGCAGAGAAGGGAGGAAGATGTGTCAAAAAAAAAAAAGTCAAGATGGCACCCTACTCATAAGGTTGCAACTGCTATCTTGAGTTTTTAGTCACCTAAAATGCCTTAGACAAATCAGGAAATGTTCAATTTGGGTTTTCAGGAAGAAGGACTCTAAAAACTGAACGTATTGTGGAGAATTAGCATGGTAGATCTATCTTGATCAGCATTTGAGCAGGAGGTTTACATTAAGCTAACATGAATCTTAGCTAGGAAGAGATGAAATGGCTTTCTAATAGAATATGCCACCCAAATTTATACTGGAGCAAATTGTTCCTTTCCTATCTCAACAACTTTCTTCTTTTCTTCTGCAAAAGAGGCTCCAGACCCTACTTTCTACCCTACTTTCAGCCTGCTGTATTATTTCTTGGGAATTTCAGGAATTCGCATTGGGCTGCCTTGGTTGCTGGAAGAAGCAGAAAATGCTACTCCTGGTGTTTGCTGTGAGATCTATATTTCTATTAATTTGCAATCAACTTAGATGCCCATATCTTAGTCTGGAAAGCTCCAGAGAAGGAGTTTCCTCTTCTGTCCTCCTGTGATGCAAACCTTCTTCAGGTGGTCCATCTATACAGCTAGGGATGTCCACCGAATCCAACCATTTACTCAGAATGACTCAACAAGCATTGCATCATCACAACACAAGATGCACCCATGCAAGGTTGCAACCCAACTCAAAAAAAGCAGAACAAAGGTAAAGGTTCCCCTCGCACATATGTGCTAATCGTTCCTGACTCTCGGGTGCAGTGCTCATCTCCATTTCAAAGCCAAAGAGCCAACACTGTCCAAAGACATCTCCGTGGTCATGTGGCCAGCATGGCTAAATGCCAAAGGCACACAGAACGCTGTTACCTTCCCATCGAAGTGGTCCCTATTTTTCTACTGGCATCTTTATGTGCTTTCGGACTGCTAGGTTGGCAGAAGCTGGGACAAATAATGGGAGCTCACTCCGTTACGCGGCACTAGAGATTTGAACTGCCGACCTTTCTGATCAACAAGCTCAGCATCTTAGCCACTGAGCACCAGGATCAATGTTTGCCCACTAGATCACATACCTTTATGACAGAGGTTAGCCTGACACCCTCCTCCATAGCTAGGTGGGCATTCAGAACAGGATCTGCCATTTTTATAGGGGGCTTCTCCAATCCAGTTGCCTCTGAAAAATTAACACAGAACGTTCCTTGTTATCTTCTTTCATCCTGTGTTAGGCTCGCAGCCTACAAAATCATCTCTGGGGACTGTTTTAGGCCTGGTGCCTGACTTGTTATGTTCTCAAGACCTCTGATCCATGAAAAAAAAAATATAACGTTCACACTGTAGCTATGCTTTGATAGATTACTGTTAATATGGGAACATTCTGCCTCAAAAGTATAGGTCAGGGGCATTCTGATGAGAACTTTGGCAGATGAAAGCACCAAAGTTATGCCTCAAAACCAACCAGGCATTAGCCTTCACACCAGTTCCCCAAAACCATTATTCAAGGCCGCGCCGATTTCTTTCTCCCAAATCCCTTTGGGTGGGTATAGGACACCCATCTGAATGCTCAAAGTTCTTTTCTGGTCAATGACTTCTTCCAGTTGAGAGTGACTCCCAGGTGTCTTCCAAGAGATGAATAAATATTAGCTCTTGTGTATGACTGAGAAACTTTGGCAGCATCTGGGAACATTAGCTTCACGTAGTGCTTGCCTCATGCTAAGCTCTCATCTTTAATGGGCAGAAGTCACTCGACACTTCATCTGTCTTTTCAAGATTGAAAGGAACTTTGTCCCTGACCCATCAGGGACCCGTCTGTTGTCCAAACATCTCAACCAGGAAAAGCAACCATTTTGATACAAGCATTCAAAAATACCAGTGGTTAAGCAAAACTTAAAATCAGCTGGCTAAAATTTTAAATCCAAAGAACCTAGAAATATGCTTTGTCGTGTTGGAATTTCTCCAACCAGTCCTGATATTCTAATATTTTGGGCACATCCCATGATCTAAACTTTAAGGTTGTGGTCATCCAACACGTGAAGCCAGGCTAAAAAGGGTTTGTGGTGCAATGTGTCGTGGGAACCTAACTAATGTCTTAACGAGTCATGTGAATATCTTAAGCTACCATGTTAAGCCGCACCATGGAATCTTGGCTTGGGTTTCCATATTTTGGTACGCAACAGTTGTGCTGGGTGCATCAAGAAGAGGTCTTGGGAAATGTTGACTCACCAGACATCTTCTTCATGACCAGTTTTTCTTGTTACCTTCTGGAAGGAGGCTTTGTGGTATCCAAAGCACAACATCCAGATTTAGTCACAGTTTTGTTCCATATAGCCAAGGTGGTGCAGTGGTTAGAGTGCAGTATTGTATGGGTAGATATATACCTTCTTTTGAAAGAAATTAGAACTGCAGAAAAAACCATGGCTACCAACCTGCCTTCCATTGAGGACCTGTATACTGCATGAGTCAAAAAGAGGGCTGTGAAAATATTTACAGACCCCTCGCATCCAGGACATAAATTAGTTTCAACTTCTACCCTCAAAACGACGCTATAGAGCACTGCACATCAGAACAACTAGACACAAGGACAGTTTTTTCCCAAACGCTATCACTCTGCTAAACAAATAATTCCCTCAACACTGTCAAATAATTTACTAAGACCGTATTACTATTATTCTTCTCTTCCTTACTAGTATCTATCTATCTCTTCCCACTTATAACTATAACCATGCTGCTTGTATCTTTCCATTTATATTGTTTTTATTTGTTTTCTAGTACGACTTGATAGTTTATTAGTAGCCTTGACTATCACTAAGTGTTGTATCTTTTTATTCTTGATGAATGTATTTTATTCTCCTTATGTACACTGAGAATATATGCACCAAAGACAAATTCCTCTGTGTGTCTGATCACACTTGGCCAATAAAGAATTCTATTCTATTGAGAGCAGGCAACAGAATTTCACTTGTAATGGGTGCCAGTGTGCTCCCAGTAAAAAAAAAAATGACAATAAAAGTTATCTATCTCATTATTTGGCTACACTTTCAACACAAAGCCACAGAGACTGTTCTCCTGTCTCCCCACCCTGTAGCCTTACTTGGGGGAATAGTTGCAGACCAAATACACCGCATTTTCCCACACTTCTCCCCACACGTCCATCCTCTTGCAGACATTAATGGCGCAGCCGATTTTGTTGGTTGTAGCCCAGACCACCTGGAAAGAAACACAAGAAGCAAATCGGTTGAAAGAAATTACCCGGGCTCAATTCGTCTTGCGCTTCAACATATTTTCATAGCTCTGCCCGCCTGAGTGGCAAGCTTGAGGTGGGAGAGGAAAGCCATCAGTTCTAAGACTCCATTTCAGCCGCTGCAGGCCTTACCTGTGTGTAATGTGTACACATGGGTCCTGTACATCTGTCGGGACACCAAGGGTTGCATTCGTGGGGATATGGGTAGGTGTAATCTTTTACTTCGTCGTACCAAGACTGGACGTGGAAACTCGGAGAACGATACCTAAGGAAAAAAATGGGAAGAGGTTCTAGTGTAACAAAGAAGACCATCAACCAGCTCTTTGGCCAGAGTGCCTAGCCAGCTATTAACCAGGGGTGGGCTGCTCGGGGTTCGTAGGGGTTTGGGAGAACCTCTAGTTAGATTCTGTGCAGTTCAGAGAATCCACCACCAAATCCCACTCCTGGCTGCCCCGCCCTCCCTCCCCTCCCCTCCCAGGAGTCCCCATGTGGCCCATTTTGGATGCAGGTAAGTGCAGGGTGCATGCAGAGGCTTGAGGAGGGCGAAAAACAGGTCTACCAGAAGTTTGGGAAATGGGCCCGTTTCTGGCCTCCAGAGGGCCTCTGGAGCCTGAAGAGGCTGTTTTTGCTCTCCTGGTGGCTCAAGGAAAGCCTCCAGAGCCCGGGGAGGGCAAAACACCTCCCCCGTCATGGTGCAGGAGGCCAACTAAGCCACACCCACCATGACCAGGCCCACTCAGAAACTGGGCAGAGAACCCCTTGCTAAAATTTTTGAAGCCCACCCCTGCTACAAACACATAACTTTCTGTATAAATCAGTATGTGTGTATGTGTGAAGGTGCATACCCAGATGCATTGTTTGTGTTTCAACATCAAGATGAATGTGGAAGTCATAAAAATGGACTGAAAACAGGTACTGAAACCAAGCCAAACATTCAGCTAAGACCAGGTTGCCAGCCAGTTCTTCCCATTAGGAACTAGCAAAAACACACGACTGCATAAAAGAAAGCATACATTCTTATGATTGCAGCAGGGCAGGCTGAAATGTTCAACCAGGATTATGTCAAGTACATTCCACTGGTCAAACATACACATACCATCTCAAGATTTGTAGCTTGCTGGAGCCTGCAGGCTTACCTTCCCCAGTGAACAGCCAAATTCTGGCCGATGGATGGGAGGAGGCTGGCAGGTCCATGATCCCAGATGCATTGGTGAGCCCAAGATTCAGCTGATCTCTCCAGTTCTTCGTCCCATCTCTAAAGAAGACAATAGGAGGAAAAACACTAGTAGGTCAACCTATCTAACGTCAACATCTCAGATGTGTGGACTTCAACTCCCAGAATTCTCCAGTCAGACTATGCACACTGAGGGATTTGGGGAGTTGAAGTTTCCACATCTTAGAGTTCCCTGGGGAATTCTGAGAGTTGACGCCTGCACATTTTAAAGTTGCCAAGGTTGAGAAACATTGCTCCCACATGTACATAAAATTAGTAATAAAACGTGCAACTCCGTGTTTAGCAGGGTGTTAAATTTGAAACAGGCCTTGCTGGATCAAAGTTGTTGACTTGTTTCTTGGCAGACTTTGAAGTCAACATGGCTTTTCTTATCCAGAGCATGACAGTGAAAGATTTTTCTTGCACATTCTTTAAATTAGCTGAAATTCAGACTGGAAATATGGGGGCTATAATTAGCCAATTTTCTGCAAAGAGCAGTTCTTGGGGCTTACAGCCTTCAAAGGAGTGGCGAATCCCCCCAACACTTTGAAACAGAAAAGACTTAAAACTTTCTGCAGGCTGGGATTGCTAAACTCTGCTAGATAGATATGAACGCACTTATTTTATTTATTCGTGAGTTGATTGGGCTCATATGCTGTTCCAATTGCTGACAACTTTTATGAAGGGGGGATTATGAACCAGCCGCAGGAGAGCCTACGTACAGCTGGTTTTTCAGCTAAATCTTTAGGAGTTCTTTTTATATTCTGTAGGATCTCCAGCAGAAGGAAAGAAAAACCACACACATGAGGTCAGGCTACCGAGCAAAGCCAAACACGAAGAACTAACTAGGCGGGACAAGTAAATAGACACTAACCTGAAGAGTCCTTGGCTGTAGAGCAGAGCTGGAGGGGTCACAAATGCCAAGAAAAATACATTTATTTGGCCTCCACACTCATGTTGACTTTCCTAAAAGCAGCGAGATTGTTCCTGGTCTTACAAAAGATGGAACAAGCGCTGCTCAGGAGGGAAATGGGTGCCGTCGGCCTACACAGGGGTTGTAAGAAGGGGTAGTTTTGGAATTCTTGTCCCAGGAGATGGAGGCACCAAACGGACTTTCAAAACACAAGGACATACATTTTTGCTCACTTCTTTTCCTAGTATCAGAAGGTTGAGTGGGGAAGTTGGGTCTTCCTGGACAATAATCCTAGCTCATCAAGGATTATGTCGTAACTCATTAAAAAAAACAATCGAGGAATCCCCAACGATTAAGAACCGTCAACCCAATGTTAAGACATATTAGACTGCAATAAAGAACGGCATCACTCTGAATTGGCTTTGCACTACTGTAAATATTGTATTGTAAAGCCAATTCAGAGTGAGGTCATTCTTTTTTCTGGAGTCCTTGTGAATAAGTAAACTTGTTCCTTCTGTAAAAAAAAAAAATCCCTCCCCGATTAACTTCTGAAAGTACTTTTGCTACTACAGTGAAAGCTTCTACATATGCTAGGTGAGGAATTCTGGGAGTTGAAGTCCATGCAACTTCTAGTTACCAAGGTTGAGAATACTGGCCTAAATTCATTTAAGGTCCTACATCCCAAAGTTAGAATATCAACTTCACTTCTTTGGTTCAGCCCTCGGATAGCTATAAAGTTCCTTGCTTAAGATTTTGAATTACTAGAATAATTGGATCCAATCGTTTGACTCATAGCAAGCCATATATCAATGCAGGCGGGTATAATCAATCTTAGCTCTGTGGGATCCTGCCTTTATATTTAGAATGGATCTGGTATCTTGTACAGGCAGAGAAAACATTCTGTTCTTTCCTTATACACACATACACACCCGCTCAATCTCACATTTAATGGACATTTGGCTTTGCATGAAATCATCTTTAATTCATATTTATTGGCGTCTGGAGAAGTGGGCCTACGTCAGAAGAATGTTCCGTCAAAAGCCTTTGCATGGTCACATAAACATGTGAAAATCTTTGTTTTTCTTTTTTTAAAAAAAGTCACTAGGAACAACACACACACAAACTTCTGAGAAAGGATTCCTGCATTCTTCTCTTGCTGACAAACCTAGAATGATAAATAGCAAACGACTGGGAATATTTTGAAGCTAGAAATGTGTGATTTATTTATTTATTTTCTCTCTCTCTCTCTCTCTTCCAGTCTCTAGATCTTTAAGTTGCTATTTGTAAAGAAAGGAGCTCTTTTTATAGTAAAATGTTCTCCGTACGTTTGCCATTTTTCCATTCCCAATTCTCACAAGAGAAGCCTGAGAAAGAGGGGTCAGCATCATCTCACAGGGTTGGTTAACTGGACGAGGATGAAGAAATGAAAAATAGAAACATATAATACCGCAGAAGCCATGTTTCTCAACTTCAACAACTTTTAAGATGGGTGGACTTCAACTCCCAGAATGCAACCGTGAAAAAAATATAGACATTAGGGTTCTTTTCCTAAGGAGCAACGTTGAGCGTTCAAGCCTAGAAAGGGCTGTTTTTGGACTGTTTTTGGACCCTTCCAACAGATGGTTCCTTTCTTATTGAAACGACTCAAGAAACTACAATCTGAGTTTAGGATTTTAGGAAAGGCTTAGAGGAAAGATTTCTTGCTCTGGAATTTGGGATGAGTAAGTGTCCTCAAAGGAGGGTGGAACAAGGTTAAACTCTAGGCTACGTTGATAGATGGAATGGCATGGCATGATTCACAAGTGCCTCTTCTTGAGAATTCTCTTCTTCTCACAGATGGAAGGATCCAGAATGCTATATGGGACTGTCCTAAAAGAGTTACTCACCAGAAACTGTCCGTCTGTCTGTCTGTCTGTCTGTCTGTCTGTCTGTCTGTCTATCATCCATCCATCCATCCATCCATCCATCCATCCATCCATCCATCCATATCTATCTATCTATCTATCTATCTATCTATCTATCTATCTATCTATCTATCTATCTATCCAGTGGTGGGATTTAACAACCGGTTCTCTGCCCTAATGATTTCTTCCAACAACCAGTTTGCCAAACTGCTCAGAAACTTAACAACCGGTTCTCCCGAAGTGGTGCGAACTGGCTGAATCCCACCACTGTATCTATCTATCTATCTATCTATCTATCTATCTATCTATCTATCTATCTATCTATCTATCTATCTACCTACCTACCTACCTACCTACCTACCTACCTACCTATCTATCTATCTACAGTATCTATCATCTATCTATCATCTATCTCTCTACCTTCCCTTCACGCTCTCTCTCTCTCTTTCTCACACACACACACCTATTTATTTATCATCTACTTCTCTACCTTCCTCTCTCTCTACCTAATCTATCTAGTCTGTCTATCTATCATCTATCAATCTATATTTATCTATCTGCTCTCCATCTGTGTGCTGTCTTGCTGTCTATTTTCCACCTAATTTATTATACTGTTAGCTGTTGAGGTGTTCTGTTAGTTTACAATAAAATTAAACAAAAAACAGAGATATTGAAACCAAATAGATAGAATGATTAGAAAAGAATAAAAATCTATGATTAAAGCTTGGGTGCTCTCATCCCCAATACAGCATGCTAACTTCATCTGCATTTCTCTTTCTTGTTCCATTCAATGTTACCAAAATGCTGTACAGAATCAGTATATCACCGATTGGCTATGGATTGATGCACATTCCTCAATTTTGAACTCACCATGTATTCCATGTTGGATGCTGAAGGATAGACTTCCCCTCTCAATTTATTATGAAGCATCAGGATTTCGTTTTGGTCATTTTTGGAAATTGATCTCTTGGCCCTTGAGTGCGGTTGCCCATCTTGGTATCGATTAAGGAGGTTTTCTAAGTGGGTGGCATTGGGCAAGAAGAAACAGTGGATGCCATGAGTTAGGAAGAGGAGGAGGGATGGCGTGATGAGCCAAGGAACGGTAGGACTCTTAGCCATTTTCTGCTTGGTGGAAATGAGAGGTGTGCAAACAATACTCTTCCAAGGGAACACTTCAGCAGTATTCTATAGACCTATAATACAAAAATGGGGGGAAATATTATTTTGAGTCCAACAATGAGCAAGCTTTCCAACTTATGAATCAGGGGTGAAATTCAGCAGGTTCTGACAGATTCTAGAGAACCAGTAGCGGAAATTTTGAGCAGTTCGGAGAACTGGTAGCAGATATTTTGAGTAGTTAGGAGAACCAGCAAATACCACCTCTGGCTGGCCCCAAAGCGGGGTGGGAATGGAGATTTTGCAATATACTTCCCCCAGGAGTGGGGAGGGAATGGGGATTTTGCAGTATCCTTTCCCTGGAGTGGAGTGGAAATGGAGATTTTGCAGTATCCTTCTCCTGCCATGCCCACCAAGCCATGCCCACAGAACCAATAGTAAAAAAAAATTGGATTTCACCACTGCTATGAATGGTGTTCCTTCAAGTTGTTTGTTTCCTGTTCTCTACTCATTCAAACAAAAAGCTTAGAACAGGGACAGGGGTGGATTCTACTTACCTTTACTACCAGTTCGCAACGGGGCCGCGCACATGCTCTCCTGCACATGCGCAGAAGTGTCTGGTCTGAACTGGGGGCAACCCCCACTGAACAGGGGGGTCTAATTTTAAGACTTGTGGACTTCAACTCCTAGAATTCCTCAGCTAGGAATTCTGGAGACTGAAGTCCACAAGTCTTAAAGTTGCCAAGTTTGAAGAACCTTCTCTTAGAATACTGTATTTCAGGAAGATGAACCTGTTGCTCTATGTCTCTGGGCCAGTAAGACAAGAGATAGGTAGAAGATTCCTTCTTGAACAAAAATGAAACGTTTACCTGCATAATACATTTCACAGGTGAGTGGGGAAGAAAGAACAGAATGGTCTAATACAGAGCTTCCCAAACTAAGGTAAATTATACCCCAAACTGGATAAAAAGTAGTTAGCAACAACCCAACCCAATTTCAACAGGGGCATTTAAATTGATACAAAAGGGATTTACCTACATTGGGTAAAAAGGACTTTCTGATAAGCGATTTGAGGTAATGTTTGGGAAGCACCCGAAAGGAGGAGGACAAGTTAGGTCTATATACTCAGTTTAAGATCTTGAATAATCTTAATCTCAAGCTTGTTGGTTTGCAAGCAGACACCCACTGGAGGACGAGCTTGATAAATACTACCGTGTCCCCAGAATCTAATTAATGGCACCTTGGACCTTTCCAAATAGAAGTTAGAAGAGGTCAACTATGAGCTGTGAGCTGTGTCTTTTTGGCAGCAAAGGAGAACAGAAGTTTTGCCAGTTCCCGGGGCTCTCCGGCTGCATAAGCAAGATGTCACCAGAAATTTCAAAATTGGTGAGAGTCCCATCCGAAGAGGGTGCGTCACAGCTTTCTGCACAAGTTTATTTATAGGCTCCTTTGTTAAGGAAAGGAAAGGAAAGGAAAGGAAAGGAAAGGAAAGGAAAGGAAAGGAAAGGAAAGGAAAGGAAAGGAAAGGAAAAAGGAAAGGAAAGGAAAGGAAAGGAAAGGAAAGGAAAGGAAAGGAAAGGAAAAGAAAAGAAAAGAAAAGAAAAGAAAAGAAAAGAAAGAAAAAAGAAAAGAAAAGAAAAGAAAAAAAGAAAAGAAAAGAAAAGAAAAGAAAAGAAAAGAAAAGAAAAGAAAAGAAAAGAAAAAAGAAAACTCTGCCTTCTGGGCTAAAGTGATGTTGCAGCCCATTTTCCCCTATCTTGTCCCTCTAGGAAGAGCAAAATGGTCTCCTAGCCATTCATGGTCATCCAGATGTTTGGCATTTGATTGAAGATGATGGGAGATGAGGTTCCATTTGTCCCCAGTGCAATGGGTGGAACTCATGGAAAATCAGTGGAGATAACACAGAAGTTCTAGCTCAAACATCTTCAAAGCATTCATCCTAGCTCCATTCTTGATGAGGGCTCTACAGTTTTCAGTCCCAAGTCATTCAGCATCCAAAACTATCTCTGATTTCTCCAAAGATTTTCTTCCTCTTCTGCAGAGTGTTCCAGATGTTAGAGATTTCGGGGGTGGCAGCTCTGAGCTAATAATTTTTTTTTTTTGAGATATGGTCTAGATTTCTGGTTGGGTTTGGGTTTTCAGACTCATTGCTCTTCAAGAATCAAGCACTAAGGACTCCAAAATTCAACCCTGAGTGACCAGTATCCGCTTCTCTTGGTACCTTGATCTTCATCACTCTACAGCAAAGGGGTGGGGCTCCGTTCACATAGATGTGGCCCTCATCTCAGTTTCTTTCTTTTTTTTTTATAAAGACTCCTTGCCTGCTATCATTCCCCCACCCCCACCCCCTCCAGCCATCAATGCCTCTGCAGCCTTTTCACGTCCTACTTGGAAAAGATGTCTTGGGAATAATTTCATCCTCTTTTAATGAAAGCATGGTTAGTCACTTGGAATGTGGGTGTAAAGGAATATTTTCTAAATCAAGACATGATCAGTCAAGAAAGATGCAGGAGAATGCCAGGAGAATGTGGTCTGGAAGACCAGACTTTCATATTCTCCTCTCAGTGGCCATTTTCCAATGAACATCAGAAACTAACTCCCATCTAGCATTTATGTGCAGTTCATTGAACGTTCTTGGGAAGAAGGGGAAATAAATTGTATTTTCCATCAAGTTGAGTGAGGTGAGTAGAAAACAGCTATGAAACACTTTGCAGCAGGGCGTTGGTCTCTGTGTTGGGTCCAAGCCAGGAGAAAGATCTACCAAGGATTATAGAAACCAAGTTTAACAGAGAAGATCAACCAATGAATGATCTCGTGGAAGGGACTTCCTTTAGAACCATGAATCTCAACCTTGGCCACTTTTAAGACTTGTGGACCAGAATTCCTCAGCCAGTAATGCTTTAGAGGAGGAATGTCCAACCTTGGCCACTTTTAAGACTTGTGGACTTCAAGACTTCAAGTCCCAGAATTCCCCAACCAGCCATGACCAAGGATAGACACCCCTACTTTAGAGAAAGATGGCACTTCCCAACCCCTGTTCATGTTTGTAAGAAAACTTCACTTAGATTTTGGCTAAGACTCATAAATGTTGTGGTAAACACCCCATCCTTTTGTTGAATCTTCTTTCCTGAACAGAGAATTCAACTTACTTCTACTGTGCAGCAATGAAATGGTGTTTCCTTTCCCTCTCTGCTGGCTGAGAATATTTTGAATATGAAGATAGTTTTGTTTTAAATCTGAGCCTTTCCCAGCTGGCTGGCTATGATCAAGGCTGGCATTTTTGTACATTCAAAGCAAACATTAGCAAGAAACATTTCGTACTAAGCGACGCGTTTAAAACAGCAGGAGTTTTTTTTTAAAAAAAGAGAGAGAGAGAGAGAGAGAGAGAGAAAAGAAGGTGGAATATTACTCCCGCCCCCCTCCAAGCCCCATTGAGTAAACCTCTTTAAAACTGGTTCCCTTCAAGGGCCTCCTGGCTTCTACACGCTGTGTGGCGACTTTCAGCGTGATTCCCATGGATTGTCTCCAAAATCCAAAAAGTACAGATAAATCGAGGCAGCTGACATTTGATCTTCCCCCAAATTATCCAGCCTGGTTTCTCAAATGATGAATCTTGGGGGCAACTACTGTCTTAATCTCGTTTTTAAAAAGAAAATCTCTCTCTCTCTCTCTTTCTCTCTCTCTCTCTCTCTCTCTTTCTCTCTCTCTCTCTCTCTCTCTCTTTTTCCTCCCTCCCTCCCTCCTCCCTCCCCCTCTCCCTCTCTTTTGTTCTTGTAAACTCTCCTCCTCTTGATCTCTTCAGCCCTTCCCACCCACTCAGCTCCCGCCCAGCAAGAGGCAAATTTGCTGCGGCTAACCTCAAGCCGCTCCGTTGGTAGACAGTCTGACCCACTTTGGGGAACAATTCTGACTTTCAGAGTTAGGGGGCTTATAAATAGATGCTCTTCTGCCAGGCACCCACAAGGCTGCCCTGTAGTCTAATCTGCTCACAAGCGTCCTGCTTTTACAGCGTTTACACATACACACACAATATATATATATATATGTCTATACACAAGCACATACGTACGCACACACTATATATGTGTATGTGTGTATGTAAATGTATATGTATGATTCAGTGGTGGGTTTCACTTATCTTTGCTACTGGTTCGCACGCGAGTGCACACACCATTTCTGCACATGCGCAGAGCGTATTTGATGACATCCGGGCAGGTGGGCGGAGCCTCCCGCTACAGCTGCTACTGTTTCGCCCAAACCGGGGCAAACTGATAGCAACCCACCTCTGGTATGTATGTACACACACTATACATATACTCTACACACACACACACACACATACATACATACATGCATACATACACACACTATATATGCAATGTATAAAATCATACATATCATACACAAACACTATATGCATACATACACAAAACATATATTAGCTCTTTCTGTTTTTCTCCTTCTTGTGCTTTCTCTCCCTTTTCTCCCCCTCTCTCTGTTTCTCTCTCTCTAAGGTACATGTGCCTTTGGAAATCAAGTCCTTCATGATTTCTGAGAAGCCCAGAGGGTCCAGAGCCCCCCATATATCAGGGCAGGTCAGCTGTGTATCTAATGGAGCAAACTCCCAGCAGAGAATTATTTTCCTCTCTCTTTCCCAGTTCAGGGATATTTCCCATCAATGATCCTATCCACCCTGGTGAACGAATGCAAGGACGGAAGAGATCGTCTTAATTTTCCACAATGCTTCAGTGTGATGATAGTGTTATCCTGACAAGACAGCCCACTGAAACTGCTGGCTAAACCTGTTGGAGATCTGCTAAGGAAGAAACAGTTGAAACTCTTTGGAAAAGAAAACCTTTGGAAAATTGGAAGCCAAATTTTAATTCTTTTCCCTTCCCAGAGGCAGGATCAGTCCCTCTTTGGCATCAAACTCAGGAGAAGGAAAGGTCTCTGACTGAGTGGAAATGCGCTTCCTTCCACCTGCGGATGCCTGCCAGGTGGCCCAATTTCAAGCAACCTTGAAATGGAAACCATTCCGAGTCAAAGCAGAAGACAACCTGCTCTCCACAAATGAGCACTCAGTGGCTAATTTACACAATGCACCAGATGTCGTGTTGAGCAAGGGAGCCATTTGGGCTCCACTAATAAAAATCAGTGGAAGAGGAGTTGTAAACACTGGGGTCAGCCAGGATGACTGCAAGCTTTGTTCTCATCCAGGACCCTGTCACTGTCAGTGGTCAGAACCAGATGTTTTGACCACAAGATGATTTAAATGAAAGGGTGAGATTACTTGCCAAGCAAAGGGTGCTTCGTCAGCCTGGCCCACATTCCTTGGCATAGCCAAGAGTCCAAAGGATCAGAGGATCAAACTGAGGTCACTCTGTGGACTTTTTCATTGTTAGGGCCGAAGTATGGGATTCGTTTTGCCTTCGGTCCAGGCAAATTCCTCCCCTGTTGACCTGTAGCTCCACTCCTTTCTTATAGTATGCTCAATCTCCTAGATCAGTGTTCCTCAACCTTGGCAACTTGAAGATATGTAGATTTCAACTCCCAGAATTCTCCAACCACCAAAGTCGAAGTTGAAGAATCTCGAAAACCTGAAGATATGTGGACTTCAACTCCCAGAACTCTCCAGCCAGCCAGAGTTGAAGTCCACACATCTTCAAGTTGCTGAGATTGGGATACACTGCCCTAGGTCTTAACAGACTGGCCAACACTTATATTCATCCTCATGTCCAGTTGCTGAATTGGTAATGATGGATGGAATAGTCTTATAAACCATGGCACCTCCAAAGAGGAAGACGACTACCATAGGGTTTGAAGAACTGCAAAAGGTCTTATCTAGCAAAATTTCTCCTGAGCCACACTCCTTAGTTCTCTCTGTCAAGAAAGACTTTGATTTATTGAAGCTAAATTTCCTGCCACTGAACTTCATGAGTGGGGCCTTAAGAAGCACGCAGACATATCTGCCTGCCAACTTATTTCAACCTGGCATGGAAGGAACCACTTGCTCTCTTGGCAGCTTATGATAACACCACTAACTAGCTTCAAACTGGGATTTGGAGCACCGCCTTGTATCTCATGATAAAAGAGAGCAGGCACTGAGTGCTGTTGGCTCTCAGATTTGCAGGAATGTCTGTTGTAGAGAAGCTGGAGATTCCAAAGATGCTCTTAGTTTCTGGGTCACTGAGCCCCAGCAGGGTTTCTGTTTTGCCAAATATGTAGCACAATACGGGGTCAGACACCCAATGTATCCAAATGGAGTCCCTATTTGCTGCATCATGTCAAATGCCCTGAATCATAGACAGGGTTGGCTCTAGCATTACAGACATAGTGGGAAGAACGATCTCAAAATCCAGTCATCAGGAGAATGACGTCCCAAGCTTGGCTGTGCTGCTTTCTTTCTTGCCAAGACAGTTCATGACCGTCCAGAAATTCAGGAGATTTGATTGTACCAAATCAGACGGTTGACCCATCACCCTCAACTCAATCTACTCCAATCTGTTGGCAGTCCTTCAGATGCATAGGACTGTCAGTTTTATCCCCTTAGATGACATTCTTCTACTCCCATGTGGGACGATTTAGATGGTTCAGTGCGCACTAATCTTGAGTCCTAGACAAGGCCAATATTGGTGAATGGAATTGTTGGGTCTTCTGACAAAATCCCTGTTTTGTTTTGGTGAGGGCCCTTGCTGGTAATTCTGCCCCCTGCCAGATTTTTTCCCCCCATTTTCTTCTGCAAGGAAGAACATTCAGAAATGAAGAGAAAGTCCTTACTTTCCTCCATTAGGCCCAGAAAAAAGAGGTCAAATGGACAGTGACCATAACCAAAGACAAGGTAGGAATCTCATGTTCAACAGTACTGGAAAACCTACGGCCAGAAAGTTCTCTTGATTTTGCACAGATTGTTTGCAGATTTAAAGATCTCTTTAAAAAAAAAAAAACTCCAATAAAAGTTTGTTTGATTTGGAATTGGGAAAGATGGACCTTAAGTTCCTTCTGAAGGGACATGCTGCCATCTAGTCCAGCTGCATAAACTTTGTATTTGTTTTAAAGCAGGAGAGCGCATTTGCCCCCATCCGGCTCCTGCTACAGATGCTCTCTTAACATCTGGGATTGATCAGCAATCCATGAATCGACAAGCGGGTGGGGGGGGAGCCAAACATGGAGCTCAAGTGGAAAACTAATCAAGAAGGTCAGGACAAAGGGGAAATCCTTGCAGTGGCCAATCAGCGTTGAAGCTCTTTTCCATTCGGAAATCAAAGGAAATCTTGCTTGGAAATGTCATGGGTTGGCCTTCTCTATTTCTCCCGCTCCTCCCCCATGGCAGTAAGTAGGTAACAAGCCTCAAACAACATTTGGGGGTTGGATGGGAGGGATAGAAAATATTTCAGAGAGATTTATTAGCAGATGTGATCATCATTCTTGGTTAAGACAGGCGGAGGAGACAGAACATGCTAACATAGGATGGGCTCCTTACTCGTGACTCACCAGCAGAGGAAGGGAAAGTGCTCAAGGACACGGCCTGAAGTTGGCCTTCCAAAGGATTCCCACTGAGTTGGCAAAGCCAAAAGGAGATTTTTCTGAAGATTTGTCCACAGTGACTGCAGACGGCAGCAAGTTTGGATGGACAAGAACCTGTCCATCCAAATTTCATTTGTAAGGCTTTCTCCTGACTCTAATCTCATCTAAGCAGGTCAATCTGTTGTCATTAAAGCAATGTACATTTTGGGTCTACGTTGTCCTGAAAACGTTGTGTTTGTGTGTGTGACAGAGATAGAGAAATATTAATTTTGGGAGTTCTAAACTTCTACGTAAAGAGATTGTTAGTTTCCACAGGCTGATAAATATGAAACACTAACGCTGATTTGTCTTCAGTGGTTGTATAACATTGACCCCTTTTTCTAACGTTGGGCTAAATTGTTGGATAAATTGCTCTCAATTTTGAAATTGGTACACAAAGCAAACAACATAGATCCAAAATGTACATTCCTTTAATGACCAACTGATTGACCCTAACCCTAGCCCTTAGATGATCAGGGAGAGAAGAAGATTTTACAAAGGAAATCAGGTTCTTTACCCATCCAATTGAGCCTTGGTGGCGCAGCAACTAAAGCACTGTTAAGTAACACCAGCTGCCTGCAATTACTGCAAGTTCAAATCTCACCAGGCTCAAGGTTGACTCAGCCTTCCATCCTTTTGAAGTAGGTAAAATGAGGACCCGGATTGTGGGGGCAATAAGCTGACTTTGTATATAAAAAAAGAAAACCGCTTGGGGGGGACGAAAGCCCTACTAAGCAGGTATATACAAAAGTATGAAGGCTATTGCTTAATGCATTGTAAGATGCCCTGAGTCTCCGGAGAACGGGCGGCATATAAATCAAACCAATAAATAAATAAATAAACAATTAAATAAAAATCCAAACTCAAGGAGGAATCTACTTGGGGTTGTAGCTTCAGTTTTCCATTAAAATATTTAAATTCTTGGGCAACCTTCTTCCACTTTTCCTTTGCTTCAGATCCTCTCCAACCATAAAATACTTATAAAGGAAAATATTTTTGGCTCACTGTTGATGTTACCTAGTTTGGGTAATGAAACATCTGCAAGAAAGCAATCAAGCTCAGAGAGCACCAAGGACCTCTCATAAAGTACTCCAACCACTATTTGATGTAAATTGCAATTACTGAGCATATTTGAATCCTATTGAATGGAATAGGCTTTCTATAATAAGTACCTTAGTCTAGGATTAGGCCGGTGCAATGAAGAGACAAAGCAAGCAGTGTTTTCCCTAGTTAAAGGAGGAGATTGGAGAAATTAAAATGATCACGAAGACTGGCAATTCTATATTATGCTCTACAGTCCACAGGGTAAAAATGGCTCCATTCAAAGCAGGCAAAGATCTGGTCCTTGTTCTGTTCTAACTTGATACTTGTGAATAAAACCACCACACTCTTTCTGACTGGCTCAAGATAGGTCCACAAAAGATGCTTCACCCGTTGACTCAATTCACCTATTTTCTGGGTGTGCCCTGCTAATCAGAAAGTAAGCAAACACATCGGCTTTGCACCCGCCAAGCCCAATGAAAAGAACCTGAAGCAAAGCTGAAATGAACTGGAAGTTGTGTGGATGCAGAGCCTCGCTTTGTACTGGACCTCATTAAGCAAGCTGCAGTTCAGCTATAGAGCTGCTGCCCCGGGGAAAGAGAAGTTCTGCATCCTGTCGACATCCTCCTTTAAAGCAAGTAGTATGCTCCTGAATCTTTGGTATGATTTTAAAATGTGAAATTTGGTCAGGTGGCTTCTATCCACAAACCTTGCCTTGTCTGCTTTCTCTCCTAAGAGAAAGAGAAAGAAAGGAAGAAAGGAAGGAAGAAAGAAAGAGTAAGGGAGGGAGGGAGGGAGGGAAGGAAGGAAGGAAAGGAGGAAAAGAAAGGATATGAGGAGGGAGAGAGAGAAGGAAAATGAGTAGGCAAGTAAATAAGGAAAAGGAAAGGAGAGAGGAGAGAGAGAAAGAAAGGAAGGAAAGAGAGAAAGAAAGAGAGAGAGAGAGAGAGAGAAAGGGGAGAGAGTGAAGGAAGGAAGGAAAAGAAAGGATAGGGAGGGAGAGAAGGAAAAGAAATTTGTAAGTAAATAAGGAAAAGGAAAGGAGTGGAGAGAGAGAGAAGGAAGGAAGGAAGAAAGAAAGAAAGAAAGAAAGAAAGAAAGAAAGAAAGAAAGAAAGAAAGAAAGAAAGAAAGAATCTAAAAGCATTCCCCCCCAAAGGTTCATCTTTTGCATGTTTATAGGTTAGGAAAAGGCAAATCTTGTTCCAGATAAGTAGCTCCACTGAACTACTACATCCGGCCAGAGGAATCAAACGGTGCGCTCACCTCTGCAAAGAAAGGAAAAACTTGCTTTGATCGGATCCTCGGAATTCTGCTCAGGGCGAAAGAAATGCGCGTCTGCTACTCTGGTCAGCCGGAGAGAAGAGATGGGCGACAGGCGAAAAACCTCCCGGCCGAAGACTGCAGGAGATCGCCGACTCTTCCGCCTTTATATAATCCTCTTTCTTCCCACCCCTTTTTTCATCAGATATCCCTCGAGGCAAGCCAAAGGGGTCGAGGATGCCGAGATGGCCTGGAGAGAAGTTTCTTTAACCCTTCCGCTCCCTTCCCCTCCCAAAAGTCTGCCAGGATAAAGAAAAGAGAGAGGGAGGGAGGAAGGGAGAAGAGAGAGAAAGAAAGTGAGAGAAAGAAAGAGAGAAGGGGAGAGAGGAAAAAGAAAGAGGAGGGAGAGAGAGGGAGGGAGAAAGGGGGAAAGAGAGAGAGAAAGAGAGAGATTAAACAAAGAGACCAAGCAGATGAGACAAATCCAATCTTTATTTCTTAATTTATTTACTTCTGCCACCATAGCTTTTCTTTTCTTCTCCTCCCAAGTTGCAAGCCAAGACAGCAAATGTCTTGTAATTGACAAACCTGGCAGGGAATTGGCAGGAGTGCTGTTGGGAAAGCAGGAAAAAAGAAGTGGGGTGGAGGTGGGGAGATTTTCTGGAGTGGGGGGTTGTCCTGCATTCAAGGATTTCTTCAGTGGCTTCCATTGTTGGCAGTGTCAGAGTGTCAGAGTGTCAGCCCTTTGAGGTAGACCAGACTTGAACACCAAAGTCATGAATATTAAAATTGTTTTTACGATGGAGGTATAGTAACAAGGGTCAATTCTGAGATGCTTTCTCATATTACATTCCTGTTTTGGACTCTTGATTTCTCTTATCCAACCGTTGCCTAGGCTATTCCTCCTGTCCCTCAAGGTTATTTTCAGTCCACTACACACTAAATTTCTCTCTGCCCCCCCTCCCCAAATCCAGATTTAAGGATGGGACTTTCTTCCACACAAGGTGAAATCCTTTCTCTTCTGTCTGCGGATGCATCCTGAAGAATAATTGTGGAGAAAAATCGTAAGAGCTCAATTCAACTGAAGTCCATTAAATGGTTCAAAAAGAGGGAGCTGAAGATTCAAGGAAGGACATTATGGGAAGTTCTTCAATTACCCGGAAGAGGTAATAATGAAACAATTCCTACGTTCGTTTTCCTGAATTGAGAAAGTGACTCTGGATCAACTATCCTTTGCCTTTTAAGAGTTATGGTCCAAGGCTCAGAAGCGGTCGGAGTAAAGCCAGCTCTTTTGAACTACTCTAAACTCAAACTCATGGAGGTCATCCAAGTCAGACGTCCAGTGTTCCATTCTTTAGTTCTCACATCAAAAACATTTCGTAAAATAAATGGGAAAATTTATGTCTGGTTAAACTCTCGTCCACAAGAGCTTCCCAGCCAATCTAGTTAAAGTTCTAACACTATTAGGAAAAAAAGGCCTTCTTGTAAGTGATGGGTTTGAATTACAGTCCATAAAGCTAAGAAAGATTTTAGAAGGAGTGCCAGTTTAGTAGCCCTAAGGACATGTGGACAATTAAGATTCCTTCAATTGGATGGCAACCTTGAGTTGAGTATGTGGAGGAAAGGATCCTGCTGCTTCATAGGAGTTGCTTCACTTATAGAGTGAGCATCTTTGCTTGGATAAGGTCAGAGTTTTAATTTTGGCCTCTGCTGATAAATCAGAAAACATACTGCTTGAGATTTACATCAATTGCTGATAGTCAGTGCCAGTTATACAAAATTGAGTAGGTCAACAGTTGGACCTCTTTCTATGCTTCTTGGCATCTGAAGGTTTTGGGTTCAGTTCTTAGCATTTCAAAATGAGCTTGGAAAGCTTCCTGACTTTCCAACTGCTTGTGCTGTCCAAAGTAGGGCTAATTAGTAAGTGTGTGGATGGATTACAGGGGTAAAAGAAAAAAAGAGAAAGACATCTGAAGGATGACTGTGTTGTATGGACTGACCAATACTCTACTTAGTCCAGCATCTTTTCACAAAGGGGTCAGGTTTTAGGAGACACATACAAGCAGAGCCTTGAAGTCAATTTTCTATGCCAAATTTTTTTAACACCATTCGACATGCTTGCTTTGAAGGTTCCATAAATCTTTCATGTTTCTAAGTAGCCAGAGATACAACCATTTTGGAAGGAACCCAAGCCAGATCCCATGGAGTTTAACTACAATGATGCTTCATAAATTTTTAAACTAGATTGCTTTACCTAAAGATGCTAAGTCTGAAGTTGGTTGCATTTTACCTGACAATTTTAAAATGAAGATGAGAGTAAAATTTGAGATTAAAATTGAAATTGAATGAGGAGGGAAGGAAGTCTGTTCCTATATTCAAATGCTTGTATGTAAGGATCAATTAAGCTAGAGATTTTCAAGTGAAACTCAAGAATATTTGTTAATATCAAGTTATCCACAGATAGTTACCGAGATGTACTTTTTGGACAACACTGTTTGTTCCATGACAAAGAATGCAGAACCACGAAGCCCCATGTGCAAAAACCAACGTTGTGGTTAGGTGATAACAGTGTGAATTGCTCAACAGTATTAGCCAATTCTGATTTTTTTTAGTTGGCATTATTGTTGGCATCATTGCATGATTCTTGGGGCAAGGTTTTTAAAACAAGTTCACCCCCCATCCCTCCCCCCCCCCAAATCCCTCCAGTTCTGATAGTTTCAACAAATCAGGATTAAATGAGAGCAGCCCATTATGCCCTTTTCAAAGAGTATCTTTCTCCTGTACTAGCAGTCTCCTGTTATAGGACACGTGGCTGTGGTACATTTGAAAAAGACTAAGTTTCCTTTAATTAGCAAGCATCAATGCAGGAAAAAAATGTTGTCCAGCTTTCACTTCAGGCAGGATGTTTCATTTGTAAATGCGTAAGTCTGTCCTCTTTCGCAATTTCCTTCCAGTCTAACACATCATAAAAGAATCTCCTTCGAATAAAGTTCTTTTTTGCAGCCTGCTTCAGAGATGCTTATTAAAAACAAAGATAGCAAATGAACTTGCAAAGAGGTAATTGAGAACATACTTTTCTATTAGCAGATATTGCAAAATGAAACACGTCTGACTTCTTGTTTCCTAATGTGCACGTTTCTCTGGAGAATAAAACAAAAAAAAAAGTGGAAACATAAAAACTTCAGGACAATGGTTAACCTGGGCTTTGCCGGTATCTCAATCTTTTAAGAAGCAATTTTAGCAAGAGCACAAGAAATGGGGAAAAAATGCTAGAAGTTTGCTTTGATGGGATCTGAATTAAGGTGAAGGGGCTATGGTGGACACACCATAAAAAGGACTGCCTTGAGTGGAAAAAATGGGAAAAACTCCTTGCTAAGTTTCATCTGAAGTGTCTAAAAACAAATGTGCGATTCCTTTCTACAAAATGAAACCATGGATGCAGCTTAATATACAATAGTTCTCATCTTACCATGACGTCCACACGAAGATTAATACCCTGAGGTTTGTTTTAGAACAATAAAACCAGTTTAAAACAATGTTGTGCGATTGTCTGCCACTGAGGTTAGAGTGACTTGCAACTGGAGACATGCAGCCAGTGGTTTTCTGGCTTATGCTTGGTTTCATTTTTATTTCCTTCTCCTCTTTGCAACGTATCATTCCAGATATAGAGGGTTTTTTTTCTGGAAGTCTTTCCAAAGTGGTTGGAAAGACCACTTACCTCTTTATTTTCCCTGTCCAAGACTTTCTAGACAACTCCCAGAAATTCAAGGGAAGAGGGGACATTTATCACGTCAACTATGGAATTATTTCTGGAATAGCCCATAATTGGCTGGATTTAGAGCACATTAAGCCATGCTTGACATTGGATTTATGGTTATCATACAGGATTCCAAAGTTTGGTAGAGTTGGTGAACGTGACATGGCACTTGGCCTTCTTCTGGCACAAGGAAGGACACCAGCATTGCCACATCAGTTTGGAAACCCAGTTTTAAGACACTAAACAGCCAATGGCAGGAGTCCAAACAAGATGTTCTGTTTTCACACAAATCTGCCTTCATCTGGCAAGATCATCAGACTATCTTCAACAGTCTGGCACCTGTTCTTTTGCAGATCCTCCATCCGGATGCTTTTAAGCATCGATTCCTACAACTGGGAACGTATCTCACCAGATCCTGGGTTAAACCTGGGAATTTCTCCTTGGACATTCTTGAACGCAAATCAGAATACATACTCAGGATACGGAAAATTCTGAAGGGATGCTGTGTCTTGCCAAAGGATTGCAAGATGTCCCCCAACCAAAAGACAGGTCTCTTTAGTTACTCCCGGTCTACAGCCCACTCAAACACTTTTAATAGCAAAAAGAGGCTTTCTCTACAAGATTTATTGATGCATGGAAGTCTCTTCTGATGTCCGCAGTGCAACTCATGGGAAGGGCCACTTGAGGTGGTGAGATGCCACCTTGATAAGCCGAGCTGAGTGTTCTCCATGCCAATAGAAGATGACTGGTGCTCACACTCTTCCCCAACATAGTACATAACACAACATACAATACTTAGTAGTGTCACTGCCCCAAAGCTTCTTTCTGGACACAGGTTCAAGATGGAAGGACTTCCTCTTCTCCTAATGAACATGACCACTAGGTAAGACCAGTTATGGAAGATCTCCTTGGATATCCACCAACTCCAATGGGCCTTTGAAACGAGGAAGCTTCTCCTTTCCCACATATGCTTTTCGTCTGCTTTTTCGGCACCAGGCAAAAATTCTATTTGTCCAAGCTTTTTCAGGGGGGAAAGTCTGGTTTATATTACATTTTATGGCTCTGTGATTCTTGTTTATTGCAAGTGTTATGACCAAATCTTTTAAAAGGGCACTTATTTTATTCTAAACTGCTCAAAAGCCATTAAAGTCTTAAAGAAACAGATCCCATTGCCAAGGCATCCTGCAGCCAGCTCTCCAGCTGCAGTATCTGTCCATCGACTGTACAATATCTTTCAACACAGGCCATGGAGCAAGGGAAACTTCTCTCTGACGTGATGCCCATTGAAACCCCAACCTTTTTATATGGCCAAATTAGCTGAAGTCAGGACAAATAGGTGCCAACTGTCTCCAGTATAGGCATATCTACTGATCTTTATGGCCCACCAAAAGGGTCT